GAAATCAATGGAAATTCAAGGACATCACTCTTTGACTCTTAAAGCATAATTTTCTCTGGTTTCTATTCTTAAACCATTGTTTTCATTGTTTTTTGAAAAAGAGAAGAACTCAAAAGAACATTGAAGAACATCAAGAATGCACATGAAAAGAAACTGAAATCAAAAGAACATGAAGGACAATTGAATTGCGAGGAAACAGAAGGGAACACGAAAGGAACGTTAAAGGAACATAAAAAGAAACAAATCAGTAAATGTTTTTTCTCAGCAGAGATGGTTTCTTTGACTGTTTTTGGAAGAACGGACTTATCGGCACTTCGGCAAAAAATCAGACGGTACGTTTTGGCATTAAAGCACCGTGGCTGTGCAGAAAACAACACGCGTTCTTCTCGTTTTTTGAATGCAACTGTCTGTAGAACACTATTTCAAGTCAATCTGTTTTCATTCCAAAATTATCAATATCGCTTTTTTCCACACAGGCTGAATTGTAGCCACTGATCGGTGGTTCTAAGTTTGGCTACTGTTGTCGAAAAAACCGCAAGTTTGCGCAGAGACATTCCAATATCAAAAGCCCCCGTCGCATTTTTTGCAAATGATGCGCTGGTTCCTTTCATTTCCTTTGGTTTTGTAGATGTTTGAAGGGCCAAGACAGGAACCCGAAGGAACCCGAAAGAAAATGAAGACAACATGGTGGGAAATCAAGAGAAATTCAAAGACATCACTCTTCTTTCACTCTTAAAGCACAATTTTCCATGGTTTTCATTCTTAAAGCCGTGTTTTCATTGTTTTTGAAAGAACATTGAAGAACTCAAAGGAGCATTACAGCAAATGAAAAAACAGCAAAGGACGAAAAGAAGAAAGGTACATGGACATCATTATTTTCATTCTTAGATTATTTTCAATTTTTGAACACGTTCTTCTTCATTCTGAAATAACTCGTTTGTCATCTTTTTTTCAAAAAGAGACATGGAAAGACCATGAAGGAAAACTAAATTGAAATGACACCAAAATGAATACGAAGGAAAACTGAAAGGAACATGAAGGGACATTGACGGGAACATGAAAAGAAATGCAGTAGAATGACAGATGCAGGTAATTCAAGGAAATCGCTCTTTTTTCAAGCAAGGAGACAGTGTGATACTGCATGGCCTCGGCCTTACTTTGGCGAGCCTTTTCAGATGCAGGGTTTTTTGTATACATGTAGCGATGGCGCCATATAGCGATATATGCATGGTAATTCAACGCTGCCTTCAAACTTAGAAGGTGCATTACAAGACCCCCCCCATTCAAAAATTATCTGTTGTTCTGAAGTGCCGATCTTCACACTTTCTAAGTTTCAGGCCGGTACTAAATCTGTGAAAAAGGACGATACGGACAATACACAATGCACCCTAGACTTCGCAGCAATGATGCAATTTGTTTCTGTGTCCTAGATGTCTTTCCACTGAAATGCTGAAAACTTAGGTTGTTTTTTTTCGCCACATTTTGGAATTCTCCGGCTGCCGGCTTGGTTACTCCCCCCTCCGTGCCTTTTTGGCCCCATCAGTCAGCAAACTGATGCCTTTGAGTTTCTCTGCGCACGTCAGACCAATTTCTCCGCGTGTGTTTTCGATGCGTTAGTTTTTTTCCTCCCACCTGTCAGGTAAGGGTTGTTAGATTTTATGTCAGCTCCTCCGCCTCGTCCGCCTCCTCCTCACCTCAGCCGCAAGTGCAGGATGGCAGTGTTCCCCGCCAGACCTCCATCGCAAGTACAGGATGGCAGTGTTCCCCGACGGACTTCAACCGCCAGCTCCCCAGCGCACTTGCCGGGCCTCAACCAACACACAATCGCAAGCTCCACCCCAAAACACAATAAATAACACACAATCAATCGCAATCACACACGCACAACCACAACACACACATCCACAAACACAAACAAACAGCAGCAAACGCAACCACACACGCAATCACAGACACACAATCGCAAACACAACGCAAACACATCCACAAGCACGTAGTCACAAACGCAACGACAAACACAACCACAAACCCAAACGCACAACCGCAAACACAACCACAAACCCAAACACACATTTTTACTAAGCACAAACACAATCACAAACACACAACCACAAACACACCCACAAGCACGCAATCGCAAACACACTACCACAAACGCAACCACAAACTCAAACGCACACACACACACACAAAAACACAACCACAAACACAACGACAAACACACTACCATAAACACACAGTCACAAACACAACCACAAACACAATGACAAATACACAATACACAATCACAAACACACAACCAAAAACAAACACACCGACAATGACACATCCACAGCGCACAACCACAGCACATTCCCGAGGACCCACAAGCAAAGACAAGAACCACAAAACTCACGACCATGGCAACATGCTTCCTCACCATGGCATTCAGACAAATGATTGAGATGTCATGGTGGGGATCACTCGAAGTAAAGTAATTTGGTATATTATTAGTTTTTATGTTCATTGCTATTTTTTTGGGGGTATTCTAGTATTCAGTATTCTAATTGCTTGCTGTTTACTGGCCCGCATAGGGACGGCCGCAGCAACCAGCTACGGCTCAGGTTCTCTGGTTCATGTTATTTCGCATTTTTTGAAACAAAAGAAACACATAATTTCTCGTCGACTTCACTTCACCATGATTTGCTCCAAATCTCATACCTTAGCCAGAGGATCCAGGACCGTTCTCAGGATGTTTTTTTTGTTGCCCAAACGAGACCCATATGAAAAAGATCCTGAAGGAGGGCCTCTGGAACCTGTCGGTTAAAGCTGACACTTTGTCGACTTGTGTTTCATTAGTCGATGAATGTCGGCCAGTTTTGCAGGCACGCTTTGACATAGCTGGAGGGCCGTGATGTCAGGACCTATGCTTTTGACTGCGTGCTCTACTGGAAATGGCATGCCAGAAATGCATGTTACTCCGTTTCCACACAAACTGACTTTGTGCCGGCAATGCTTGCATCGAGCCAGTGTACCATCATGCCAGGAGGAATATTTTTTCATCCACACTGTCATTTTGTGTAGATCAGCACTAGTTTTTGCTTGGACGATGGGAACAACCCTGCTTCTGAGATGGCACCTGTACATCTTCGTTTGAACAAACAGATCACGGAGTGCACATTTTCACATGAAAGATTATCAGGGTAAGAACTCTCCCCATCGAGCATCAGGAAAACTTCTGGCCGAGGTGCCAATCTGCCAGCTTTGCATTCCTGCTAAGATGGGATGGTCATGACGATAGTGGAAATCGCACAAGTGTTTTACAACATGTTCCTCAAACACGGGAAATCACCGATGAAGGAGTAGTGGGGCCAGACAAGGATAATATCGATGGCACCTGTATGTAGATACTCCCTCCCTGCAATCATGGAAGTGGACAACCCCCTGTTTGTAGGGAATTTTTTCCAGAACTATTGTCCATATTTCGTTTGGGGGGCTGGCAACCGGGCATTTCATTCATAGGTGGAAATCAAGTTGGTGTTTATTCACTCATATGAGCAACCACTTCTATTTAGGCTTTACTAAAATAGTCTACGGCATGCTCTATGTGTTTGTCTATCATCAGTATTCGCTTGTGAACGAGATAGGCCCCCTACATAAACGATATATTTTTGTTTGATGTCACTAAAGTAATCTGAACGAGATGGAGTGTGATCTGCTATGAACGAGATACTGTGACATGACCTCCTGCTTAAGTAGTCTAAACCAGATAGGGCCCCCGTATAAGAGATAGTGTATTTGAGCTAAGTACCAAATAAATGCCGTGGCAAATATGAGCAGCTGCCAAAACCTCCGATGAAGGCAGCATCACTACAGTGAAGAGTAAGTGAGTACAATAAGAGAAGCCTTCAGGCACAATAAGGTGCACAAAAAAGAAACGATAAGATTTTAGTACATGTTGTTAGGTGTGTCCAAACCCTCAGGAACTATAAGGTTCACAGAAACAACGGTAACGTTGGGAAGGATGGGCACTGCAACACACAAGAAAGAGGGTTTGCACGTCGCTCATATGTTTTTTTAATGATTCTGATAGCCTGATCGCCCTCACAGGCGAGTGTTAGTTGTTGGATGTTGTTGGATTTCAACGTACTTCTCACACTCGGCCTCGATGCAGCGCAGCCACGAATTCTTTTCACCTGGATCCTTGGAATTTCTTTGCTTCCTGTCATAGTTGACGTGGATTGTGGCTGAAGCATACTATCCACGTGGATTTGGACCAGAACTCTGTGCTTCGGCGTGGCATCTGGAGCCTTTTTGGGGCAGTCCTCCCACGTCAACATGCCAAGAAGCAAGGATCTCCGTAGCTTCAGATCCTTGCCGTTCTTAACAAACAGTGTTTCAAGATCTAAGATCTCCTTCCTGTTGAAAAAAGAGCAGCTCAGCCGCTCCCCAAAAGAGAGGCTCGGAGCGACCCAAGGGCCACAGACCCTTCGGCGCCGGGGCTTCCCGTTGGAAAATCCAATCGGACTCTTGGTTGACGAAAAACCACTCGGTGGAGAAGAGGCCAATCTTCTGGAATAAGACAGACGCCTAGGTGGTTGTGATAACAAACCGGTTTGACCCTTGTGAACCCAACCACTTCAGGTGGTGAAAAGGACACCAAAAGCGGAGATTTCGTTCGAAAGCCGTGCTCAACAACCTATATGAGGTGGTGTGGCAGGTTGGTCCATGTTTGGTTTTTTGTTCGCCATTTGATGCAACCTCCACAAGAGTTCTTCAAGATGACTGCAGGCAATTTCTGGTCGTTTTCGGGTACACACATGTAGGGATGATATGGGATGATGTGGGTAATTCATATTGGAACGTAAGAGCTGTACCCCGGTACGCGTGCCATGTCCAATCCAGAAGTGCCAGCCAAGCGCATGTGAAAACTGATTGCATTTGCCGAAGGTGCTTTTGCCCAAGGTAGATAATATTTTCTGAAGTCCAGCCGTTACGCCGAAACGCCCCACGTGAACTAGATGGAGGAGCCTACCCAAGTGCAGGAGGCATCCGAGGACATCACGCGCCAACGGTCGACGACGGCATCGAGCACTCATTCATTCGACTCAACTAGTGCCAAGGTAGTTTTTTAGCAGATCAATCTTTTGGGTATATCCACGTGTTTTATGACTTAATGGAGTCAGTATTGTGCGGAATTCTGTGCCTTTGGGCATGGGGCCACAGAAGACAGAAACTAGATCACTGCAATATCATTGAGTCACTTTGTGGGGATACCATTTGTAAACAAATATATATATATATAATGTAATATAGATAAGATACATGTAATATACACATGGGGTAGGGGTCTACAATTAATTGACATTCTGACATTCGGATTCTAGAACACGCACGCCTGGGAACTCCAACAATCCGTCGGAAAGAACCGAACTCTCCTGCTTATTCCAGCAAATCAACATCCCGCCCTTTGAGCTGTGGGAGCCCTCTAGCTGGAAAAGAGTGAAACCTATTGAAACCAACCGTGGGAAATGGTTTTGAGAGATTGTGACAGTTTGTTGTGCTTCCCACGTCAAGTCGTGTGGGATCTAGCATCTTGAGGTGTTCATTGATATTTGCCTTGTATATTGGCCCAGCATGGCCCAGACAAACCAGTGGTCTCCTTGCTCTGGGTCCAAAGCTTCCTGAAGGCCATTCTTGAAATGTCCAGAATCTACATGAATCCTGAAGAACTACGCGAAATGCAGAGGTGAGACTGGTGAAACCGGTACAAAAGTTGATAACCCTTCTTTTGCGATCCTGTGAGACATTGTGGGACCCTTTTTGGGACCATTTTTGATGTTTCGATTCAAGACAGTGCCCGTTTCACAACGTCCCAGCCGGTCTGACCGCCGGTCCACGGTCCGCAGGAACAGGCCACAGAGTGGCAACCGGTGAGTGAAGGAAGTCCTGTCAGTGGTGCGAGTCGCGAAGATACCGCAACTGAGCTCATTGACTTTGATAATCTGGAAGAAGGCCAGCCCGGACACACGGTCGGAGAGTCATGGTCGGAGAAGACCCGCTACTGGTCGGAGGCGATCCTAACCGCTGCCATACCGAGGGTACTGAGTTTGGATGAGCTAATTGGATGGGCTGCCAGACTCGATCTTGTTAATTAGATGACTCTCCGAAACCTCGACCTCAATCAAAGAGAAAGGGACACACACACACACAGATCTCTATACTCTTTTTCATAAAGGGTATCTAAGCCTAAGCTAAGAACTTGAGTCCCCGAGGACTCCATCCACCGTGCGGCGTCACTGCTTCGCCGCCGCGAGCGGCCCGGAGGCCTCTCGCCGAAAGACAAGATCGGCGCGGACACGATGTCAGACCTACTGGAGCTGCCGGGGCACCGAGGGGGTGCAGGTTGCGTGTCGCCCGTGCCGCACTGGAGGGGAGACGTAAGCTAGATGAGGAGCTTATGCAAAAGGACTTCTAAGGAGCAACAATCTCTTGGCTGCCAACACATGACAAAACTATGCAAGGACCTGCGTATAAACAGTCAGCACCTGGAAATCACTTGGAGGTGTCTAGGGTGTATCTGAACTAAGCCTCCGGAAGGACCAGAAGGAGTCTAATAGAAATAATTGCATCGTGTTTGGTCTCAAAAGAGCTTGCACGACTGTTCGTAACCACAAAAAGATTGACCAGGTGGATCTGAATTCACTCTCATATAAAGAAGAGAACATCATAGAAACAGGCCTTTTCCCACCACTGACCCTCAAGTGCAATATATCCGGCTCAGGTCACAGACCGAGGTGGTAGTCTTGAACAAGTCCTGGGAAATGTTCATGGTGGCCCTTGGCGGTGAGCGAGAGACGGTGGGCGATGCCATCTTCGGGGCCTTGAGCGACCGCTTGGTCTGTATCAAGGAGCACAGTCTCGCTACTGTCTCGCTGTGATTGAGTTGAAACCACTTCTGACCACATCTCCGGCAGGCGAACCGCTGCCTTTTTTTTGATTAGATGATGCAATGTCCAATGCTGATGACTTTCGGGTTTGTTTTTTTTAAATGTCGACTCCAGAGATATCGTTTCCGTTGGTTTTCCCCATCTCAATGTTCATGGTCATCAGACCTCAGATCAATGTGTTGGAAACCTGATGAGGATCCTTAGCACTAATCTCTTCATGGGGGAGGGATGCCCAAGAAAGAGAGAGAGACATGTAAACATTACAAGATAACTTGGCAATAGGACCATAGGATGTCGGATTGTTGAATTTACACAAGTAGGTTCAAGAAATTAGAGGGTACTGGCACCAAAAACATGCACATTTGGATCATGGGCCACCCACACCGACTCACACCTTTACCACCTTCACATCCATTTGCGTCTTCGTGCCGCCGCAAGACAAGACATGCAGAAAAGGTGCATGCAGGCGAGTTAGGAACTCTCGGGGTCTCCGAATTCCAGGGACACATGATGATACCCAGACGCTCATGGGCCCTCATATGGAGGGGTCGGACCCTCATATGGAGGGCTCTGGGGTCTCAAATCCCTAGGGTACTCCCTAGGGTTTTGAGGTACCAAGAGCTGTTTGGAGCGTCTGGTAGGACCCCAAATGCCCCCCCCCCCCCCAGCGCTTCACTCCGTGCCAAACGTCACTTTCTGATACCAGTTTAAAGGGTGATTCTCTGGTGCGCCCCCCCCCCCTCGCTGCGGTTGGCGGATAGTGAAATTGTATAACATTGCTAGCTCCATTCGACGGGTTTCTTTCTGTTTGACAAACATCCTTGAAAATGCCAGGACAAAACCAACTGCCTGAACTCCTGTGTTTGGGCCTCCGCCTTCACTGTGCACATCTGTGCACCGTGCAGTCGGACGCGGTGTCCTGTCGGACCGCTGGCAGGAAGCGTTCAAGGGCCGACCAAGGGCGATCATCTCATTGAACTTGTTCAATGGCTTCCGCCTTCTTTGCAACAAAGCCGGAGACGCCGAGGACTTGAGGCGTGGGGCCGATGGGATGGGCGAGGCCGATGGACCACGTGGGGCCGATGACACCGGCGGGTGCGTGAGCGCGGGCCACCGGATCCACGTTTAGAACATTATAGAACTACCTCTGAGATGAGATACGAACATATGATCTTCTATGAGGGTACGCGGGTACGCGCCCAGCAGGATCCAATGGGGTACCAAATACCGTTTCGGGTTGGTGGCGGATCGTTTCGGGTTGGAAGATCCCCCTGGGGTTGTTGGACGAAGAAAAAGCGAACTCCGCTTGCCGGGGTGTCCGACGTTCTCGTCTTCTCCATGGACAGGTCGAAAATCCGGTTCATGAGCACCTAGTATGTTCGGGTGGCTCCTTTCCAAACTCTCCAGAAAAACCTTTGTCATGGTTCATTGTTTTTGGCTTGTTGCTATCCTACAAATCAGAAGAAAGTCTTTGGTTCTTCTGGAGCATGTTCCAGTGCGTCCTGATGGTTCACTGACCACCACTACCATGGACCTTTTAGCCTAGCGCAGACCAACGCTCCGCAGGGGACTGACCCTCAAAGGTGCTCGATCAGGTTCTTTGCAACAAAGAAACTTCCTTCAAGACCATTGGGATATTTGACTTTTCCGGGGGGCCGTCAACTCGTGTAGCGTGTTCAGCCGCGTGGGTCGTTTGAATTTTTGTTGTTAAAGAAGTGGAGTCGAGAGAGACAGTGAGATAATCATAGTGTCTCTTGGCGGTTGCAGAGCTTCAGCCTGCACTGAAATGGTCCTTTTTTTCACGCGGGCTGAAGACTATCAGTGGAAAGAGTTGTGTTGATAGAAAATTGAACATCAACTGGATCCCTCTTTGTGAGCAAAACTGGTTTTTAACATAGTTCGGGGCCAGGGTTGGTTTCGATTGATCTCTTCACACAATTTGCGGTTGTATCCGGATCCATATGTATTGGCCAGGGAACCTTGCAACGGAGCAGGGCCAGGGTGGGCCCTGGGGGGGGGGTCGACCAAAGATGTTTTCTTTTTCAGTCGACCCACCTCGAATCTGAGAGTCTTATTACAGTTTAGTTATTTTGGATACTGTATTGTGGATGTCAATGTGTTCCTGACGAGTTCATCGTGTTTTCGGGAGGCCTGTGGTCCTGTGTTTTTTTTTTGACATGGGTCGGAGGAATTGGAATCCGAACGTTTTATCACGATCAAGCTGAGCATGGTCCAGCTTAAAGAAGAACAACTCAATTGTACAACAATTTAACCGTCAGTTCTGTGGTGCTAATTGCTCATGTTCCTTGAACTGTTTGTTTGAAACGCACTGGGAGCAGACTAGCTTTGGCGTGGACATGTGATACAATCAGCTTAGTGGACTGATTAATCATCAAGCCGAGTACTTTGAGATTTGTATATAGAATCTGATCCCGTGTGGTCAAATTTTGGGGTTGCATTGTTTATCCTTTGCAGTCTACTGGAGGGGTAATCAGCCCTGGTGATAAGATTAGTAAGCACGATGCTCCAATAGACCAAATGCCAAAATGGTGGACATGATTCATCAATCTCAAGTACAGGGCGAACTCTCCGTCAATGGCTTGTTAAGGAACACTTCCCACACATCCCTGTGGGGCCCAATCCCTAGAGCCTTCGAAAAGCACTAGGAAGCAAGTGGAGACTTTGGCATTCAAGCTGCTGGGCTGCGAGTGTGTTGTTCTTTCGCTCCATGGCAATGTCATGGGTTGAACCGCTCGAACCTCCACAAAATAGTTCGACTGCATGGGAGGATTTGCGGGACAAGTCCGGTTCAAGTCAAACAAAGAATCTCAACGCTCGAACGGCTTTGTCGTGCCAAGTGTTGATTTACATATAATTACACATACTGATACATATGTTGTTTCCTGAGATGTTTTGTAGGATGTTGAGAAATCAAAAGATCTGAGAGGACGGATTCGCCCGGGGCCAACCAAGTTTCTTTGACTCGGATTGCACTCATTCCCTGGTTGCTTCCAGTTACCCTGCCTTTAACCGCTGTATGGGTGTGCAGAAGGATCGAACATGGACCTGTACCAAGGTGGTGCGCTGTGCCTTGTGGTACGTCTCACAGTAGGTTCTGAGATCACAGCCTACCAAGTGCAGTGATCCTCTGCAAGGTGAGAAGATTCACAAAGCTGTGTATTTCATGCTCGGGATGGCAAGGCGTTCCAGAGCAGTTGCCAGGACGGGTAAGATTAATGGTGTTTTTTGCTTGGTCAGACAGAATATTGTAGTTACTATAGAGAAAGCAGCATTTCCAGGCCGGGTGACAGTGAGAAGGACTATGAGGACAGCGATATGTAACACTTCCAGTGACAATGAAGTAGGTATGTACCCAAAAGGGTTGGCAGTTGGCAAAAGGATTGGATGATCCTTAAAGTAATAAGTATGTGTCTGTTCTTTTGCAAACATTGCTAGTTCAATGAGTCGGTGTGCAACAAGTGTATGAGCCGCCTGAGAACCAGGGAACCAGGCCACTCGAAGCATCACATCAGGCACTGGCAAGCCTTGCACAGTTGCAACGTTGGAAAGCTTGTGGGAAGCTGCCAGCTGTAGACACCGCAAGTGATTCATTACAGATTTATCACCAATGAAGGCTTAGGGCTTAGGAATTAAGAAATAAATTAAGACAACATAGATAATAAAAATAATAAGTGTATGAAAATAATGGGTTTCTACATGAAATTTACTGTAGACAAAATATTATAACATGAAAGATATAGAATTAATTATATCTGACCTTTAACTTTTGTAAATGATAGGATAAAATAATAAAGATATAGAATATATAAAAGAAGAATAATAAAGGATAATGAAATTAAATAACCAACACATAGAATCCTAGATCCAAGAATGAATGGTGTGGAAATCTCTTATTAATTCATGAAATATATAAAAGATAAATTAAAGTAAGGATAAGAATTAAAGAACCCATCATGAAATATAAATAGATAATAAATGAAAAGGAACGGCAGCAATAAAATAGAAATTACTAATGATTGCTGCCGGTTATCTATCTATTCTTTTTGGTGTTATGAAAAATCTCTTTGTCCTTTATTTTAATGGAGATTTTTCATATTAGTTCCTGTCTTTTTCGTCTTGGAGGTCCTTGGCGAGCCACAAATCAAGGGTTAACCGATGGGGCACAGTGGCTCGCCTGGGATTCCTTGGGCCCCTTCACCGCTGTCATTCACCTTCCAGTTCTTTCCAGCGGTTACGATCACCCTTGTCAATCTCACCTCGATAACGCCACCAAAGGGGAAAAATTAATGGTAAGAAAAAAGTGAATTAATGTTTCCTTCCCTTTGTCCCTCATCATTTTATTTATTTTCATTCCTCATTAAATAAAATGATGGTTTACTTTTCTTTTTACTTTATATTGCATGATCGCTCATTTAATTACTAATTGAGCGAGGTTATCGGCTAGGTTGTCAATATATCTTTCATTAATTATTATATCATAGCCTAGCCGATAGAAAATAATAAAAGAAATGTAATCTCTATCAGCTAGCCTATGACCTTGTGGACAAAATAAAATAAAAGTCCACAATCATGAAAAGTAAAATACTATATTATAATATCTATAATCTATAATCTCGCTCACGATTCGTCAGTAAATGTCCTTTTTGTTCGTGAGCGAGTAATCCTTCATTAATATATTGGCTTTTTACATTAAATAAGATAAAAGCCATGTAAATAGCCAAGTTAATATATTAATTTCTTTATGATTGCAACCTCATTTTAATTTAAAAGAGTCACTATAATATAAAAATGAGGTTGCTATTATATTTACTGGCCATTAAATTCATGGCCATATATTTATCTTTTTACCTTCTTTATTATTATCAAATGACTGCAGATTTAATTTCAAATATCTGCAGGGTCAATTTCTATTGCCTGGGCACCACAATAATCCCTACACCTGTAGGTCCGTAATTCCGTGTAAGCGCCAGGGTCTAAGTCTACCTGCGCCAGGGCAGTGGTAGAATTCACAGGACTATAGATGATGTACTACCATGGCCTTGAAACAGCCTTTCATGTTTGTTGGATTACGACAAAGGCACCTAATGTGCAGTGAGGATTTAAACCTCTCTCTCTCTATACAGGTTATATATTGATTCACCAATATGGGCGATGGGAATTCTGATTCCCAGCTGGTTGGCATGTACCATGTCTCCAGCACCAAGTCTCACTTAAGCAGGATACAGAGAGGGAAACATTTCCTCAGCACTGGTGATCAGGAACAGCAGTTTCCATGCTATATAATTCTTTCACAGAAATGCTTCATCCAAAAGCGTGCCAAACAGCCAAATAAAACTATAGAAAACAGTAAGAACAATACATCCCAAGAATTCCCAGCACATCATCATCCAGCAAAAATCCAGGCACGAGTGGTGTTCTCATTTTGACGGTCGCTGTTGCCTCATGCGTTGCCTCACGCGTCCACGTGATCGTGTCCACGTGTCCGAGGCATTTGGGCAACGAGATCAACCAGCAACGAGTGGACGGTGTCACTGAGTCCTTCCTGGAGCTAGTGCAACAGAGCCTTTGGCCGATGACGAAGGGGACGAAGGAGACCAGACCCGAGACGAAGGCAGCGAGACCGTGAGGGTCGGTTTTTGGACCAATCACCAGTGGTTTGGGAGGCTTTTATGTCACAAGTGTCAAGAGGATCAACAAGAAGTAATGTCAGGAGTCAGGAGTCAGGAGGTGGTGTTTGATGTTTGCTTTCTTTTTTTTGGGGGGGGGCAATCGTGAGCCTTTATAGGCTAATTTATAGGCCAGTATTTTGGGGTTCATCTTCGGCCTACTGTTGGATCCTGATCCATGACCTTGATTATGCGGTCGTTCTTTTCTAGGGACTCCAAACAACAGTGTCTCCAATCACCTTCTCACAGGGAGGCAGTGGATCCATCGGGATTGTGTATTTTTCCGTCGATGAATTCTGGAGTCCCACAAAAAACACAATTCCAACAACCGTCGGACCATCAAGCATGGCTCAGCCGTTTTGTTGTTCACTTGCTATGCTTACGGACGATAGTACAATTGGTGGTGCATCGCGTTGGTTTCAAAGATAGCTGGAATAGGTTCCAAGAGTTGTGAAGGGCTTTTGGTGCGCTGAGAATCTGGACCCAGCAAAACAACTTTGGAAGACTGAGTTGGCCTGTATCTCGTATTTCCTTCAGCTTTCTGAAGAGAAGGATGCATGCTCACTTCTCTTTGGGGGTGATGGTAACAACTACAGACATATACCGACCAATGTTCATTCGATGAATATATAATTGTGTTTCTAAGAATCAGGCTAGGTACTGCTAGTATAGGTACCAGTTGCCCGTCACCTGAACCATGGCATTCTCACAAACCTTATCTCAATTGATTTCCTCACCCTATGGATCCACTGCCACCCTCTGACAAGGTGATTGGAGACACTTTGACATAGGCATGCGGCTTCCTAGGGTCGTCAAACCTCGAGGGTGAGCATATGTCTTTGATGCCAACTACTTTACAGCTACTCACGCCTGAGCATCTAATAAGCAGCTATTGCCACTCATTGGCTCTATCGTTAAACACTCACCCTTTGTAATGTTTAATCCTGATTAGTATAAGGGTCCTCTATAATGACAAAGTTTTCAAAAGTAATTCTGACCCCCAGGTTTGTTTTAAGGATCATCCATTGTGCTATTTTGTTGGTGGTCTTAATTTGTTTATTATTTTGAAAATGATTAGTGTGTTAAATCCTTCGGAGACAAGTGAATACTACTAAGCCAATGACTGGCTTGCTGAGATTATTGATATGTGTAGGTTTCTCTAGTACTTCTTCACAACTGACAGCTTCCCAAGGCCATCAATTCCTAATCAATTGTTTATCCAAAAAAAAATCAAGGTAGTACACCAGGAAGGCCCCTGATCCTCAAAAATAAATTGTGTTGTGGGTCCTCAATTGTGCAAAGTTCTTTTCCTCAGCAAAAACACACAAACGGTACTACTAAGCCAATGGCTGGCTTGCTGATCAAAAGCTTTCCAAAGCCATCAATTCCTTAGTCAATTCTTTATGTAAAGATTGCTCCTAAACACATGTTCAAGGTAGTAGACCAGGAAGGCCATTGATCCTTAATAATATAATATATGTCTTTAAGGGTCCTCAATTGTGCAAAGTGTTTCCTCAGTAAGAATACATATGGTTGTCGATCTAAAGGTCCTAGACAGGATTGTTGATGACAATGACCCGGAACATATCAAAATATCATTTGGCGAAAGTTCGTTCTCGAGTTGGCGATTTTTTTTTGCGAAAGATATGGCTAAAGCTGTTCGTTCTGCTGCTGTTGCTACTACTACTACGACGACGACTACTACTACTACTCCTACACTCCTCCTGCTGCTGCTGCTACTACTACTCCTACACTCCTCCTGCTGCTGCTACTACTACTACTACTCCTACACTCCTGCTGCTGCAGCTAGTACTACTACTACTACCACCACTACTACTACTCCTGCTGCTGCTGCAGCTGCTACTACTACTACTACTATTCCTGCTCTGGGGGGTGGCTTTGCCACAAGGCTCTACCCCGCAAAAGGCGAAAGTTTGGCGAAAGTTCAGCTCAAGATTGGCGAAAGTTCACCCTGCCACATCTGACCCCCAGCCCATTATGAGTAAGTCTGAGTGACCGGCTACTACAGTGATTCTTGCAATTTTGATTCTTGCTGACACCCAGGAGAAACAAAGAAGAAGAAACCATTGACGTGAACAAAATTGATATCCATCATACAACATACATGGCACACATAAATACAACATACTTCGGCGAAAGATAAAGCGCAGGAAGGCGAAAGTCTGGCTAAAGTAATTTGTTTTGGCTACGATGACGGACCCCGGATAAAGGAATTTAGATCAACACCCATTTACAATCTTAGTAATCCTTAATACTACTAAGCCAATGGCTGGCTTGCTGAGAGTATTCATAAGTATATAGTACATAGGTTTCTTTAGTTCTTCTTCAAAGCCGCAGAGAACCTGAGAACCTTTTTTCTACTCTTCTTAGTATGTAGTAAAAAAAGGATTGCTGAGAATATCTACAAAGGAGAATGCATATATACTACAATCAATTACCACAAGAATCCTCCCAGGAACCCAGATTTGTTTTGGTGGTAGTTTATTATAGATGCCCCCCCCATTTGTTTAGAGGGGGGATCCCCTTTAAAGATGCCTGCTGTAAGGCACTAGAGAGCAAGACGATCAAAACATGCCTCTGGTTCTTGCTGACCACAGGACCTTTGAAGAATGGCGTAGCCGGGACCCCTTCCACGAGTCCGCCGGACTCCTCCGCGGCCGAGGAACGTACCGAACTTGCCCCCGGGTGCTGTGAATGTGTGGCAGAAGATGCTCACCTACACCGGCTCTTGCTGCAGGCCTGTTACACAAGTGTGTGAGGTTTTTTTCTTCGTGATAAAGAATGAAAAAGAGGAGGTTCCATACCCGATGTACGTAGTACAAGCAGAGGAACCAAGAGAAGACCCATGCTTACAAGTACTTCCAAGAGCCTCGCCAAAACTATCATCGATATGTGACTTATATATACATATATTTAGATTATTTTAGATTTAGAGTCACAGTCAGTCAAAATTCAGTGTCGATCACTTTAGTAGGGAAGGCGCAGCCGTGCTGGGAAAGTGCACTAAGCCATGTAAAGCGACAGGGCCTCCCCCCCAAAAAAGACAAGCAACTTCCACTGTTGCACCAGTCCGAAATCATTCATATGTTTGGTTTCCAAGGTCTTACACCAAGAGCACGTTCAAAGTGGAACCTTCCAAGAGCACCAAATGGCAATCCGGCGACTCCAAATGTCTTTGTTGTTTTTGCAATGATGAGACATCCTGTCCTGTCCTCTTCCTGTCCTCTTCCTGTCCTTATTGAGTTCTTTCATGAACATGCTTAACATCTTCACCATGATGATGGCAGTTATTGGCTCATCATCCCTATGCAACCATGACGATCTCAACTCCTTTTTGTAGCATGTGAGTGGAACAAAGGAACTGGATTTACTTTTAAATCCCTATCACTACGGCATCGCTGCGTCCATCGCCCGCACGCCGGCATCGGTTTGGCGGGACCTTGGATGGTGGTGCGTCCCATGTCTTGACCAAGCCAGGTACATCAGTGCAACCTACACTGAGAGGCTGAAGATCATCCAGGCCTCGGCCTCGGCAGAAAAAAAAACGAGGTCCCTTCTGCCAGACTGCTGGACCCTCGAAAGCCAATACTATTGGCCTGAGGACATGTTTGCCCCAGAGAGTTTCACCCAGGAACTCACAAGGAAGGCCTGATTTCACGAGCGAACCAGCTTAGTGAATCCTGGAGACGTACCCTTCCCAGTTGACAGCATTTGGGAGAGCCCTGAGAGATGGACAATTGCACAGTCACAAACAGAAGTGAACCGCACAAACACTTGATCTGTTCATGGTAGTTCTACTGATGTTATTTAAGTTATTTGATGTTGCATCACTTTGCTGAATGACACCCCATTCGCAGTGACTTGTGTACCAACTTGTTTGTATTGGGTGCGGGTCCTGGCTGTCCAGAAAAAAAGCCATTGCCAGGTCTTTTTCTTCCAGGCCACCCATCCGACCATCCGAGTTCACTCGGATACACTTCATACACCTCATTTAAAAAATAAAAATAAAAACAAGCACTACGGGGTGACATGGTCTATTGCAGGGAAGATGGTTTTCTCCCGGTGCTTCATTCAAGAAAAGCTTTGTCGAACTTCTATGGTGTGGGTCACCCCCCCTTGGCTCCTTCTTCGTGTAGGCCAGCGGGGCGAACAGTTGCCATCCCGTTCGTTCCCGGGAACGCCCGTCCGGTCACGTTTTGGCCCAGGGTGCGCACAAATAGACCTGCAAATAGGAACGGATGAATTGAACGTGTTCGAAACTGGTGTGTTTAGAACATGACAATCAATCTGTCATACTACGAAGTGCTTTCGTTCTTCTCGAGTGCCGCAATCTAATCTCCGGTGCACCACCTCCTTCCCTGCATTGCTCCTGCATTGCTCCGTGCGCACGTGTCCGCGACGACGCGAGCGTGTTCGCAGGAAGACTGGGCAGTCATTCAGACCGCTCAGGAGGCGGATGCCAAGGAGCACGAGGACGGAGAAAAGAAGCTTGATGGATGTGGATGTGGCACATGGACCCATGGAAAGGCCAGCAAGTATATCTCTACATAATAACTATATCAACACACGTGTATGTATACATTTAATATATAACATTTAAATAAAAAAAAAGACATATAGCTTATTTTTCTTCAAATCCAGGCATAGATGCAGGGTCTAGTTTGGATTCCATGGACGGTCCAAGCTTTGCCTGCTGGAGCTAGTTTGCAATTGATTCAACTAGTTTTGAGAAGTAACCGACCGTGCCCGGCTCTCCATGCTCCGTCGCTCCGTCGCCGCGCAGAGCGCGTCCCTCCTGACGCGCCCGAGGAACGTGGATCGCAGCTTCGGCGGGATGTGCGCCTTTAGCAACGAGGTCATCGGCCAGGAGACTGAAGGCCGACGGAGGTGGTTAGACGAGGTCAACCCGGGCAGATGGGTGTGTGTTTTTCCTTCACGAAAAGTGGTTAGACAAGACCCACATCAGGTGTTTGCTTTGTTTTTTTTTGGGGGGGGGTGGTTAGGACCTAGGGTTTTGGGACAGGAACTCAGAGAACGTCGTCGTAAGTGACCAGTGGTTCCGAAGTTGGATCATCCGGGTCCGGAGGTCTTCCCGAGCGGACAACCAGCGGCTCGGATGTCGCAAGGCTGGATGTTGGAGCTGCTCCAGGTCTTTGGGGCTGCTTGGCATGAAACCAAGAGCAGTTTGGCCACAGAATCAGCAAACTAAGAGCAGGAGAAGCCATAAAGCAGGAGCTTCAATCGGGAAACTCGGGTGCAACGTAACAAAACAATACCTAACACTACTGTACTAGTATACACATTAACATACTATAATTAAGACCAATAGTAGGAGCAACAGGGAACAACAGCCGCATGATGAAGCATGCTTCCACATGGTGCTCGTATGGTGAATACTGAGTCTCCATGCGCCTTCCGAGTCATAAAAGCTCGCTTTGACACGTGGGCGGTCAGGAAGGAAGCCGCGCTTCGGGGGGAGGAAAGGACGTGAGCACTGCTCACCTCACATTGTTTTTTTTCCTCAACGTCATTAGTGTTTTTGTTGGACAGCCGCGGATGGTAGTAGTAGTCAGGACCCAGGTTAGATGTCACGACTTCGGCGTTGTTGAGCTTCCATACGCTTCAGCGTTTGAGTGATGATGACCAGGTTCTTCGAACTGCAACAGCTCAGAACAACTGTGCCCGGAGGGATTCGGTTGAGGATGAAATGCCCTTCAGAAAGTCGTTTCAAGGCACTTACTTACTTTCATTGAATATATTGAAAACCTGAATGACAGGAGAAAGGTGTTTGTCTCTCTCTCTATTATATATATATACATGTATTACTGTATGATATGATATAGTAGATGCTTCTTATTTTGTAGCAATCATCGTCCAACGACGTACATGTTTACCCTTCTCCGAAAACCGCCGTGGGGGGAGGTCTCCTGAGCTCCGGCACTCGTCTTGATCGCCCTTTCCGGGGAACCTCGCACAGGTCTTGGTGGAACGGATCGGAAACCCTTCACACTTGCTGGAGGACTGGGAATCAAACATCAAAGCATCCGCTCCTCCGGCCGAATTGCTTGAAGGCTGAGACACTACGCAGCTCTTGATTTGTTGATGGGTTGAAGGGTTGGTTCCCGAAGTGCCAGGTTCCGTCATTGGAAGAGGAACTCAAGGGAATGGGTACATTTGGGTGGCAACCTGATTCGGTGGTTGCATACTGGAGAAGGGGCTGGCGGTTTTCAGGAAGCCAATTGACCACAGGCAGTGCGTGCCTGTGCCAACGAGATCCAACTAGCATTAGGGTGATCAAATTGCTGGCGGTGCTGATGGTGAAGTGGTGCCTTCACCACCTCTCATGAAACAGAGCCTGTTATTAGGGTGATAGTGATACTCTTCAACAGTTCTGATTTGATGAAATTGGCACAGTACATGAATTGGCATTAGATGTTTCATGACGTTTCATTTGAGGGCGAACTCCACGTCGGCAAAGTTGAAGGGGCTGAGGTCCCAGTAGAGCGGTTGCTTTGCGTGTGCGTGTGTTACACTAATTGTTGAGTACCGTCTTTGAGGTTTTCGTTGGAGCGGGGCAGTACCGTCGGGATTCGGAATGATTCGGAATGAATTTTGAGGATTCGGTTTGCACCCAAATGTGACGCTCACATGCTCCAGTGTTGATGTAAGAGATCCTGCGCCGCAAAGAGATGACGGGAAGCATTTCCAGCCGGGACGGATTTTGTGCGGTCCTATTCGATGGTTTGGCTGCGGCCAGTTTTCGCAACCTTTATCAATGAGAGCCTGTTTTTAACATTTAAAAACAAGTTAAAAAGATCAAATCAGAAAGGGAAATAACAGCAACAAACAAATGCCCAGATCCGACTTGTTCTTTACTATTATTTTTCAAAATTTTGACTTTTTTGACGTTATTTTTCCATGTTTTTTGACTTTTATTTGACGTGTTGCTTTTGTTTGTTTAATTGTTATTTGTTCGAGTGGCTTTCTATTGTTGATTTAATTTGTTTTGACATTCTTTTGTGTGTGTGGTTTGTTAATTGTATAATATTTTTATTTGGCAGTATATTTGTTTGACTTGTTCGAGTTGTTTTGTAACTGTGACTGCTTTCTGACCTTTTGGTTGTTTTTTGTTTTTGTTTCGACCTTGAATGATTAGTTGTTAACGATTTTTTTGGACTTTTTGTTCAACATGTTTTGACTTTTCAATTTGACTTCTATTTTTTTTGACTTTGACTTTTCCATGTGACTGTTGTTTCTTTTCTAAAACCAGGATTCTGGCCTTACCATATGAAAGATATTATAACTTGATCGATTTTTGTTCTTGTTTGACTCTTATATACCTGTCATGCCTAGGACTTGTGATTTGTAACCAGTCTTCCCAACCACCTATATAAGATCGAAAAGACGGAGATACGGAGTCACCTCCAGTCCAATACTCAAAAACTGTACAGACATGAGCAAATTGGATGTTTTTTGGACGGTTATATACCAGGACTGTAATTACTCTAAAGACAAGACCATTTTTAGACCGCATATGTTATATAATATTATGATATATTAATTATGTATAATCATGTATAATGCAAGAGTTCCACTGGGGTGATTGTTGGAATTCTCCCGGGAGTGAAAGATGAACGTACTCCAAAAAATGACCCCGACATGGAGCTCCGTGATAATGTATTCACTAACAAACTACATTAAGTCACCTGTGACTCTTGAGTGCTTTTCAGGAGTGCGAGCTGCTTGCCATCAGCATGATCAACAAGAATAAGGACTTCTGAATGACCTGGTGCAGAGTGACAAATTTTGACCCTGCCCAAGCTGGGGTCCAACTTTCTGTTCTGTTTGACTTCGAGTTTTTAAACCTAGTCAATGGACCGAGAACGGGCCGGTACGGACCGTTCGGTAGGAGATGGGGGGCGGTATGGTCCAAATCACCTGACCATTTGGTCCAGTCACTGAAAATTACTGGGTGTTGCCATCTTCATACTCGTTTTGCAGCTTGAGTGTTTCAGATGTCTTCTGTGTGAAACAGCTCGCAGGAGTTTCATCATCGGGTGGTCTCAGGCTTTTTACTGCCGTCTATCAACAGCCCAGCTGGCCATTCCAGCTGGGTAGTGCCTCAAGAAACTTAACACAGTTGCACCTGAAAAGGAGGGTTTTGAGATCATTTCTCCATACTTTACACCTGAAACTTCACTTGGCCTCACCAAAGTCAAAGGGTTCACTCGCAATGTCCAGGTTTCGTGGTGCCAGGCTTCGTTCACTCCGCTTCGTTCACTCCGCTCATCCCGCGAAGTTCCGCCAAGCTCGAGGACATTGACTTTGACCGGTTCAAACCCGTGATGTTAGCGGCCCTCCGCTCACTGTTCCTCGACCAACGCGCTTCGCTTCTCACGCGCTCCACCGCTCGGTTCTTCGCGAGCACCGAGCGGCCAGTCCAAAGGTCTCTAGATTGGCCTGGAGAGGTTTGAGCTAGAATGAGAACTACCTGGTAGAGGGGGGGAAGTGGATTCCCAACGATTCCCAGCCGGATTCCAGTGGATTCCATGCATCATCATGACCGCAGACGACACATCCCGACCCTTTTCGAATTGATCGGTGTTTTCGATCATTTTCCGAGCAAATCAACCCCATGGATTTATGTGGATTTGGGGGTTCAATGTGGTCTTTTGCATCTTAATTGTGCGTTTATGGACTGAGCAAGATCGCGCAAGACCTGCAGACGTCCTGCTGACGATCGAGCTGCTCCCCGTTTTCGCAGTGGCTTGCCCACTCTTTGTGTATTTCAATTTGGGAGAACTGAGAACAACGATAAAGACGATTAAATATATATATATATATTACCAACTGTATGACTGACAGCAGTGTTTGGAGTACCTCTCCCTGCCCATGCGTTTTTGAAATCAACTGGCAACACTGGCATTCCAGGGATTGTTAGGTTTGGGCTCAGTTTCCTGATATGTCCTCATGATATTGAAGACCCGGATGGTCAAGCCTAATCCGTAACAACATCGACGTCTCCCGCCAATCCGATGGTCAAGCTAGCCTTGCACCGCACAAGCCCACGACCTGATGCAGCTAGGCTTCCCAAGACTTGGAGCACTATGCATGAAACTGCCTGGGAGTGGCTGTGGACCACCATTGCCCACAACCTCGGCGAGTCCACCAGCAAGGCACGGGGCAGCCTGGGCACGGCCACGGCCACGGCAGCGCGTGGTTCTCGTTCGATCGATCGACCCCCCCTGACACGTGTGTCTACAGCTGGCCATCTGCCAGGTGAAGGCCTTCAAGACCTACAACGTTCAGCTCTTCTCTGCCTTGAAGGAAGAGCGCCTTGCCACATCCGAAGGGCACCCCACAGCAGGTTTACGGCCGACAGAAATGCCCAGATCCGTCGTTCAAGGGAGAAGCCAGATCCAGGGGCGGAGCGAATTGACAGGAAAGTGGGAAACCGGGATCAGGACCAGTGCGTTGGCCTCATCTTTGTTGAGGAGTTGAAGAATCCGAGTGCTGTTGCAGATGTAAGGAGGAAGCTAGTGATACTTGGCGGGGTCCCTTCTTTATGTCGTTTCAAAAATTCCTCTTTCAAACAAGTCTTACATGTTCTTTTCTGCGTGTTCCCTGCAAGAGCACTCAAGAGCCCTCCTCAAGAGTGGACTGCGACTTGTTGTTGGAGCATAAACTCAATGTTCAACACCACCATGAACACAGCTAGCTAATGGCCATGGTCCAATGGTAATGTAAAACCTTTTAATCGCGCCCACATTTGGGTGTTGAAGCCTCTTCATAAGTTGAGTAGTAGTGGTGGTGGTGGTGGTGGTGGTGGTGGTGGTGGTGGTGGTGGTGGT